CATTCCAAGTCCCGAAGGTTAGGTTGCCGGTGTCTGTGTAACTATAAGGTTCACCCCGCCTACTATTTATCGCACAAGTGTGTGTAATAAAAGAGGTCAACATGCGTAGTTTTGTTATGTTATTCGGCGTTTGGTGATACAGAGAACATACACCGTCCAAAACACAGCCGTTCACAGGTAAGTTAGATAGATTCTACTGGGGCGCATAAGATTTCATCTCGGTCGATTCATCAAATTGGTTCACAGGTGAACCAGAAAAGAGACACTTCCCCGGTCTTTCAATGCTCCACTAACTAGACGCTCAAATGGTTCTATCCGAAGAAAATTCTGACGACAAGTAACCATGAGCGATGTCCGTTTGCATACAGTCACGCTATTCTATCCAAAACGTAACCTGGTACACTGTTTTCTACAGCGAATACGGAACGCCTGTTCAGAAGAAACTCTGGAAGATGAACTGGAACCAGGGGCGAACAGGTTACACGAAAATGTTTAGCCCGAGGATTTTTTTTGGATTAGCATCCATCTCATCATCATTTTGGCCTGTTAACTGTTCCCCGGGGAATATATTTGCGACAGCTTTTCATAAACTGACCGAGATCAGATCGTCAATTTCCACAAAACAAGCTCCAAACAGATCATATTCGGCCGGGGAAGAAAAGACGTAAGCAAACAATTGCCCAGCTCGGTGAAACACACAGGAGGAGAACAATTGAAAGCCTGTCAACTAACAGGTGAAACGAAAGTAAATCAAATCCAAAGACAGCAATGCGGATGTAAAGCCTTGAAGATGAAAATGAGGAATTACAGAAGTGCTCATTCACATTAAACCACAAGATTGGTTTGTACATGCCGTCATATTTTTGTACCCAACAAGCGATCGTATTTCACTGGTTCAGAAAAGTTCAAAATCTCTTTTCAGCACTAGATATACGAACACCGTTGGTTCAATGCTAATTCCGGTGCTCACCTCGGCTTGTATACTTTGCATTTTGGGGAATAAAAAACATACGAAAACGGGAGATGAATTGACCCGGTTTATCTAACTAATTCTGGGTATCTGTCTCACGGTGGTAAAGCAGTGTAATGTCGTCCGTGTAGTCTGGTCTTGCATAATCTGTTTCTCGTTAGAACTTTGGGACACTCACCGTTCACGGGGATTCAATCATGTGAGGACGAATGGAAGCGGTTCAGTTCAGTTTAGTTCTTACAACCATTAACCATGCACTTTCGCGCGCCGGTTTTGGATAAAAAAGCAGAATGAAGATTAGAATGTTGACGGCAGATTCAAGCGGAAGAAAGCGAACTAACATAGACTGAAGTAACAAGAACAATGAGAAAATGCATGAGCGCCACCGTTTGCGACATCCAGCCATATCACTCAGTGTCTCTAACCATCGGTGACTATTATCTCGGGGTCCCCAGCCAGGGAGCCTAACAGGACCTATATGACCCAGTCTCCTGGTCAGGATTTTCATACCCTCATGCCAGGTTTTGGTTTGACCGCCCATGCTTTCTTCCAATCACTAGCTGCCTTGGCAAACATCGCTCGACGTGGTAACCTATCTGGGGACATGCGTAACACATGCCTCAAACAACGTAATCTATAATGCATTACTATCTACTCCAGTGGACGACCATGATTAGCAAAAACTCTACGCCTAACCTCAGCATTGCTTGTCCGGTACCCCACAAGACTCGTGCGATGCGACGTAGACAGCAGTGTTCGAACAATGATGGTCTGTCTTTATCTTGTTTTCCTAATGGCCAAGTTTCTGCACCGTATAGCAGAACTGGCCGAACTGTCACGGCATACACTCGACCCTTTACAGACAGCCGGATGTCGCGACGGTGCCACAGATGTCTCAAGTTGGCAAATCCCAATTAAGCCTTCTGTGTGCGAACTGACACTTCATTCGCCAAGTGAGATATAGCTGCTCAGATAGCAAAACTTGTCTACTTTCTCTACACCTTCCCCGGTCAGAGTGAGGTTGGAGACTGGGCCAAATCAGTCTTGGAGCAGCATTTTACACTTTGAAGGTGCAAAACACATTCCGAACGTGGCTACACTAACAGTCAAACTATCCAGAAAAGCTTGCAACTTACCTGAATCTTCACTTAGTAGAACAATGCCGTTTGCATACTCTAGATCAGACAGTCTGCCATTCGGGAGTAAATCGATGCCACTACCCTCGCACGAGGATAGGGCTGTTTCAAGAATTAAATCTATGACAAAGTTAAATAGAAACGGAGAGAGAGGGCAACCCTGTCGAACACCATTTTCTCTAGTGAACTCGGGTGAAAAGTGCTCTAAGCTCGGACTCGGCTTCGGCTATTATTGTGGAGGGATTGTAATATTGAAATAAACTTCTCGGGTATACCTTTCGGGGAAAGGCAGCGCCAGAGTTTAGAGCGGTCGACTGAGTCGAAAACCGCTTTCAGATCGAGGAAGATGAAAATAGTGGAAATAGTAGCCTCCGGAAGCCTCAGTATGGTCGGGGATGGGCGCCTCGGGTCCGGCTGGTCACCCTTCCCTTGCGCCTCACGAAATGCTCCCATGTGACCAAGCGTCTCAAATAGCCTCTGCCGAGGAAGCCATACTCACTACCTGCTCGTGGTGGA